AGCAGCAGCAGCAGCGGCGGCGGCGGCGCATGGCGAGGCGGCGGACGTTTTCGTGCAGTTAGGCACATTGCGCTCATCGAATACAAGTCCAGTCTCATCTCATCACAATGTAATGGTAAGCGAAACAAGAGAAGAGAGGAGAGAGATCGAGAGAGAGAGAGAGACAGAGAGAGGGAGAAGAGAGCGAAAGAGGAGGAGAGACAGAGAGAGGATGAGAGACAGAGAGAGGGAGAGAGAGAAGAGAGAGAGTAGAGAGAGAGTAGAGAGAGAGAAGAGAGAGAGGAGAGAGATCAAGAGAGAGAGAGAGAGAGAGAGAGAGAGACAGAAAAGGGGGGGGGGAGAGTGAGAGAGAGGGAGAAGAGATGAGAGAGAGAGAGAGAGAGAGAGGCGAGAAGAGAGAGAGAGAGAGAGAGAGCGAGAGAGAGAGAGAGAGAGAGAAGAGGAGAGGAGAGAGAGAGAGAGAGAGAGAGAGAGAGAGAGAAGAAGAGAGAAGAGAGAGAGATGGGAGAGAGAGACGAGAGAGAGAGAGAGAGGAGAGAGAGAGAGAGAGAAGAGAGAGAGAGAGAGAGAGAGAGATGAGGAAGAGAGAGAGAGGAGAGAGAGAGAGACGAGCAGAAGAGAGAGAGAGAGGGAGAGAGAGAGAGAGAGAGAGAGGGGACGAGAGAGAGAGAGAGATGAGAGGAGAGAGAGAGAGAGAAGAGAGAGGAGAGGAGAGAGAGGAGAGAGAGAGAGAGAGCTAGCTAGGTGAAGCAGAGACGTGGATAGATGACCCGCGCTGCGCATGCGCCGGACCGCTCTGTATAGGAATACTGCTCACAGCCGTTGCTTCATAATTAATGTATGTGTGCGTGCGCTCGTGCGTGCGTGCGTGTGCGTGCCTGCGTGCGTGCATGCGTGCGTGTGCGTGCATGCGTGCGTGCGGCGTTAGTGACACTTGGTCAATATTGTTACAAGCATTGTGAGCGTTGAATTGATAACGCATACGTGTATGATGCGCGTACACGCACCAACGCAACGCATTTAACCTAAAATGCACGCACGCGTGCACCAGGCTGCTATGTACCCCCATATATACATAGTACCAAGAGTAGATAATAACACAAGTGTTATTATCTACTCTTGATAGTACACGCACGCGTGCACTAGGCTGCTATGTACCCCCGTATATACATCGTACACTCACGCGTGCACCAGGCTGCTATGTACTCCCGTATATACATCGTACACTCACGCGTGCACCAGGCTGCTATGTACTCCCGTATATACATCGTACACGCACGCGTGCACTAGGCTGCTATGTACTCCCGTATATACATCGTACACGCACGCGTGCACCAGGCTGCTATGTACCCCCGTATATAAATAGTACACGCACGCGTGCACCAGGCTGCGATGTACTCCCGTATATACATCGTACACGCACGCGTGCACCAGGCTGCTATGTACTCCCGTATGTACATCGTGCACGCACGCGTGCATGCGCGCTCTCTCACACGGGTGCGTGTATACGTGAGCGCGAGAGTGCGCCGCTGCAGGCTGCGCATCGGCAGCAGACGCGGTGCGATTCAAGGTAAAATGAGAGCAGGCGCGTTTTTTCTCTTTGTCGTCATAGACGGACGCGCGCGTTTTTTTTCTCAGCCGACAGACAATCAACTGATACTCTATTTTGCGCTTTTCCGTTTTAATATTGCGTTTCTGACGTAATTGGTTCCGAAACAAAATAAAACCGATTTCGTTTATCTAGGTAAAAGAAACACGGCATTAAACACACGATAGATGAATAAATTATACGGTGTTAAGAAATATAATTTTGCGAGCGGGAAATGTTTGTCACGTAACTCAGAAATGAGCTAAATATAGTGACATGATGATGGTGATGATGATGATGATGGTGATGATGATGATGATAATAATAATACTCATTTTAATAGTTTTGCGTATATAATAGTTGGTAACGGACGTCGAGCCCACGTCGTTATTAAACGTAATTATGTAACATTATATTGACGCGCTGGCAGCTCACGCACACACACGCACGCACGCACACACACACGCACGCACGCACTCACGCACGCACGCACGCACGCACGCACGCACGCACGCACGCACGCACGCACGCACACNTATATATACTATAAAGCGAGTGTGTAGACTTTGGGTAAATGTCGGCGCTCATCCTGCGCGGTGTACATGTAACATTTAACGGTGAGAGCGACGAGGTAGATGTGATGATGACCGACGATGATTGATGATGACGATGATGATGACGTGATGATGACGCGATGATGACGCGATGATGACGCGATGATGACGCGATGATGATGATGACGATGATGACGACGAGATAGATGTGATGATGACGACGATGATGATGATGACGATGATGACGACGAGATAGATGTGATGATGACGACGATGATGATGATGACGATGATGACGACTGATATAGAACTGCTTGATGATTGATCGACGATGATCGATGATTCGACGATGATGGACGACGAGATAGCATGTGAGTGAATGACAACGATGTATGATGATACGATGCTGAGGACGGAGGTAGATGTGATGATGGACGACGATGATGATGATGACGATGCTGACGACGAGGTAGATAGTGATGATGACGACGATGATTGATGATGATTGACATGATGACGACGAGATAGATGTGATGCCTGAGACGATGATGACGACGAGGTAGATGTGACTGACGACGTGATGATGATAGACGATGATTGACGAACGAGATAGATGTGTTGATGCGACGATTGATGATGAATGACGCATCGATGACGACGAGGTAAGATGGTGATGATGAAACTATCGCTTCACATAGACGGAGCAATAACGTGACTCCACTCTTCACCCTTCTTCCTCTCCTTCCCCCTCCTCACTCTTCTATCTCCTCCTCCTCCTCCTCCTCCTGCCGTCGCTCCTCCTCCTACTTCTTGTTGCTCCGCCTCCTTATCACCCTTCTTGCTGCTCCTCTTCCCCTCCTCAACTGCTTTCTCTCTCCTCCTCCTGCCTCCTCGCTCTCCTCTCCTCCTGCCACTACTCTCTTGCTCCCTCCTTATCACCCTTCTCGCTGTCCCCTTGACACCTGGCTCCTCCTTCTCTTAAGCCGCTCCTTTATTATTCTCTTCTTCTTCCAACATTATCCACTCGCTCTTGCCCTGCTTCCTCCCCTCTTCAATGTCACCCTTGCTCGCTTCTCATATTCCGTTCTTCTTAATTTCTACTTTCTACTTTTTCCTTGTTTTTTTCGTTTCCGCCCTCCCTCCTCCTCCTCCTCCGCTTCCTCCTACCTAGCTCTCTACCTCCTCCTTGTGCCTCACCTAGCGCCTCTAACCTCCTCTCTTGTGGTGCCTCACCATGATCCGCATGATGGCTACACGTTACATCATAGCAGCAGCGCAGGCAAAACAGCTACAGATCAAGCCGCAGTCGTCATCATTTCTTCCTTCTTCCTTCCGCCGTGCTGCGCTGCGTGGATCACTAAGCACGCGACGACGCACGCACGCTATAGCGACGCTACGCACGCACGCCGCCGCCACGCAAGCACGCAAAGCAACGCACGCACGAGCCGCACGCACGGCACGCCTGCACCAACCCCGCACAGGCACGCACACACGCACGATCCCCGCACTTGTCCGTCACGTCACGGTCTAGGTCTGCCTTCCCCTTTCGCTCGGCACGCTCCGCTCGATCCGCACTTTCCTCTGCTCACCTGTACGCCCCACACATGTCCGCGCCCGCTTGGATGTTCCCTCCGGTTCTCCACGTCGGCTCTACGTCATACTCCTCTTCGTGTCACGCTCTAACCACACACGTCCGCCCTCTTGGGCGCTGTGTCGTGCCCGTCCGCTTCGCCGCTCGCTCCTTTCCTTCTCCTCGCGCTTTCTGGCCGGCTGTCCTGCGTCTCCTTTCCCCTCTCCTCCTCCGCGCTCTCTTCTACGTTTGCGGCTCGGCCGGCCTGCCCGCCTCCCCCTGTGTGCGCGCGCCTGCGCTCCTCCGCGCGGCATCGTCTTGTGCCCGCTTCTGCCTTTGCCCTACCGCGGCGTGTCTCCTTCACGGCCTCGCGTTTATCTGTCCCTTCTTGCTTCAGTCGGTCTCCTTCGCCTGGCGGCCGCATCCTTGCTTGTCCGGTCCCCGCTGCGTGCTCCCCGCCCTCGCCCTCTGGCTCCGGTCTGGTGTGTACCTCGCACCCGTGCGCCTCTCTCGCCGCGGGTTCTCTTTTGTGCTGCTAATGCTTTTCCGCCTGTTGGGGTCTCTCGCCCGCTTTCTTTCCTTTCATTCTGTTCCTGTGTTTCTGTTTCAGGCGCGGGCCGCCTCGCTTTGTGGGTACCCCTTTCTTTCTGCGTTGGTCTGCCGCTGTGCCTGTCCCAGTCGCTGCCCCTTCTTCTCTCGTCCGCGCGTGCCGCGCTGCGCTGTCTTCTGCACATTCCTTCGTTCCCCCCTTGCCTCTCCCGCGTTCTCTTTGGCCGCTTGCCTCCGACGGCACTGCCCGCCTCCGGTGGCGCGCTGGCGCCAGTATCTCCGAGAGCCAGTCGTCATTTTGCCCGCTCTGCCTTTTGCGCGGCTTTCCTCGCACTGCGCTTATCTCTCGTCTTATTCAGTAGGGCATCCTTTAGCCCTGGGGCCGCCTTTGCCTGTCTCGTTCGGCCTGCGTGTCCCGCGCCGTCCTCCTCTGGTCCGATTCGCGCGCTCGCGCCGACTCTGCGGCTTTGACATCGTCATATCTGTACTGTTGGGTGCCAAATCGACTCAATTGGGTCTCCCCTCCCGGTCTCTGCTGCGTCCGCATCTGGTCCCCTCTCCGCTACGGAGTTGACCGCACACCTGCGTTCTTGCCCTGCGCCTGGTCCCCTTCTCGGCCTCCGAGCTCTCCTATCTTGTCTCCTCTTGCTTCCTCTATGCTCCTCTCCTTGAACGACTACACTGCATAAAGCAGCTGCACTGACTCACATGTCACGCACGCCTGCGCTTTGGAGCTCCAGCTATTTCTCCACTCTTGTTATGCGCTCCGTGTCCTCCTTTCTGTGTCGGTCTCTGTGTCTGGGCTTGCGCTCGTGCTCCTGGCGGCACGGTCCCAGTGGTTTCACTCCTGCTCCCCATCGCAGACGGTGGAAAAGTCCTATTGTTAATGGTAATTATATCTAATTAATCACATTCGAGTCTTATTGTGCTGTTGCAATTCAATTCCTTCTTGCGGCTCGAAGAGCTTTGTAACCTCACACCAGCAAGCCGTCCGGCGTTGCATTACGCGGGAAGGCCTGTTGAAGAGGTCTTGCCTATTGCTCGCTTTAGTACGTGCGGGATACGGATTACCTTGCTTCCTATTATACGTCGCTTATTCATGGTCGCGTCGTGCTTACATATACCGTCTACACTGTAGCAGCTGTGTGCGCCGGCACACACAAAGCGAGCGCACACACACACAGCACACACACCCAACACGCACACACACGCCACAGGCACGGGCCACACACACACACCACACACACCACACGCACTACCACAGCACAGCACACACACACATGCGGCGGCACACACCACCAGCGCACACATACCAACCACAACACACACCGCGGCGCGCCCACAGACACACCAGCAATCCACAGCAGCACACTACACACACACACACACACACACACAACACACACACACACGCGGCGCGCGGGCGCGCGCGCACGCCCGTGTAATGTAGGCGGCAGTCAGGCAAGCTCCCTTAGATGAAACAAACTCATCGGCAAAATAAAGCGATTTATGATTGCGGTAATTTTTTCGCTAATTTAGAACATTATTTAGGGTTTAGGTTAGGGTTGAAGTTAGGGTTAGGATTAGAGTTCAGGGTAAAGATTAGGGTTTAGTGTTAGGGTTAGGGTTAGGGTTAGGGTTGGGGTTGGGGTCGGGGCTGGGTTAGGGTAGGGTTGGGTCTGGGGTTTGGGTTAGGGGTTGGTTTATAATTAGTGTTAGGTTATGGCTTGGATATGGCTATAGGAAAGGTTTGAGGTAAGCTTAGGGTCAAGCTTAAGATAAGGGTTAGGATTTACGGACAGGCTTATCTCTATATGGTTATGGTTAAATTTACAGTTACAGAGAATATCGATAACGTTTGTGTATGGCCCGGCATTTCCCACGAACCCGTTATTCATGTGTATTATAGCCGCTGTGACTGATGACACTTCACCCTATAGTCATGTTGTTACGATCCGACGTTATCAGACGCGTACAGACGCACGGATGACGAGCAAGGTGAGAAATATTGCATAGAGCGAGGGGAGCGGCCGTGTATGTGAGCTGCTGGGTATGTATGGATGGATGGCGCCATGAGATGCATGGCGCCATGGATGCAGGGATGTGATCCATGTTTAATGCAGCGACAATAAAAAACCGATGAATTGCATTAGCAGCCGTCGGTGACGATGAGACAGCGACGCGCGCGGTGCCTGATGGGATATATCACGGTAGAGAACGCATGCACACGCACACACCCACGCACGCACGCACGCACACGCACGCACGCACGCCCTCACCTTCGCAGCTCTGTAGTCTTTCCACGGCCTGGTACCCGGGCAGACACTCGCAACCTCCCTGCAGCAGGCTCCACCTACCGGAGCCCGTGCACAGATACGTCGGCCGCTGCATCTGCACCGAGTTGTCGACGCACGTGCCGTCGGCTTGCTTCACCGACGACACTTCCTCGCCGGTCGGCGTCTGCGGGAACACGGCGTAGTTACTGACGTTAAGCGGGCAAGCCTTGTAGTAGACGCGGATAGCGAGCAGCGAGAGACAGGCGCCCTCGTCCTGGAAGGCGATAAACACTCCCTTCTTACCGACACGCACGCTCGTCTGCTCGACGTTAACGACGATCTCGTTGTTGTCACTGAAGCGACCCTTGTCGGCTGCGATGCGGTCTATCATGCGGTACGTCTTAGTGTTCCACGTCGGCATCTCCGTGCTCGAGAAATCAAACTCCGACTCGTAGTAGAGGAGGCTGAAGGTTTCCTTACACGATCTCACGATCGCAGGGAAATGCTTGCAGTCCCGCATCGAGAACTTTACTTCTATGTATAGCCGCTCGGCGGCGCCACGTTCTATGTAGGGCATACGCAGCCAGTTTTCGACGGCCGCCTGACTTCCGATGTCGCAGACGGCGTAGACGCGCCAGGCTCGTGACGAGTCGCCCTTGTGCGGGAAGTACTGATCCTCGACCCACTGTAACGATAGCAAGAGGAGAAAGAATCCGTGAGACGATGTATGGTATATATGTATGATATACAATATATATATATACGTATCTCTACGTATGGTTCCATCAATAGGGTTAGAGGTTGAT